ATCAGAATTGTGGCACACGAAGATTTGAGTCATATGAGCGATAGGGGGATTACATGTTTGGCTAGAGAAAAGTTTGCTTTCTGGATTGAAACAACAAAGCTGAAAAGGTGTATCCATTGTTTTAGCTGGCAAACAGAAAAGGGTTCCCTTTCATAAGTCATCTCCCGCAAGAAAGCCCGATTATTGAAGCTAGTAAACTCTGATTTGTGTGGTCCTTTTAAAGTAAAGTCAAAAGGTGGTAGCAACTTTACTTTTGTGACCTTCCATTGATGATCATTCTCGTAAGCTCTGGGTGTATCTTTTGAAATCTAAAGATCAAGCACTTGGCGTGTTTAAGGAATTTCAGGCCTTAGCTGAGAGGACATACGGGGAAGAAATTAAAATGTATTCGCAACTGGCAATGGTGGTGAATATTGTGGGTTCTTTGATAACTATTACAAGGAACAAGGAATTCGTCATCAAGAAAACTCCGCCCAAGACGCTCAAATTGAACGGTTTGGCAAAGAGGATGAATAGAACTCTAGTTGAGAGAGTTAGATGCTTAACTTTCAGAGGCTATACTTCCAAATACATTTTGGGCGGAAGCACTTAATACTGTTGCCTATGTTATCAATTTGTCTCCTACTGTTGTTTGGATGGTGGATGTCCCAGACGAGAGTTTGGTTTCACAAAGATGTTCTTAATGACTCACCTGAGATTTTTGGGTGTAAAGCTTTTTGTGCATATTCCTAAAGATGAGAGATCAAAATGGATGTCAAAACTAAGCAGTGCATCCTTTATCGATTATGGTCAAGATGAGTTTGGGTATCATTTTTATGATCCAGTTGACAATAAACTTATTAGAAGTCCGTGATGCAATATTCTTTTGAAGACCAAACTATTGAAGAATATTGACAAAGCTGAGAAGATAGATTCTCAGAGTAAATGAGAGCTAGTTGATATTGATCCAGTTTCAATTGCTAAGGCACCTATTGCACATGAAGGAACCCAAGACAATGATGGAGATAGTGATCAAGATCAAAATGATCATCATGGTATAGATGTTATGGATGCTCCAGTTGATGAAGTTGTGGTTGATCAGCAACCAATTCCTGCACAGGTAACTACTTCGAATGCTCCTGAAACCTCTCTTAGAAGATCTACAAGGGAGAAGCAAAAATTCATGCGCTATCCTCCTGATGAGTATGTACTTTTGACTGCCATGGGAGAACCTGAGAATTATGATGAAGCCATGCAAGATAATCACAATGATCATTGGATCGAAGCGATGAAAGATGAGATGAAGTCACTCCATGAGAATGGCACATATGAGTTAGTAAAATTGCTGAAAGGTAAGAGAGCTTTATCTAACAAATGGATATTCAGAATAAAGCAAGATAACCATACCTCTGCGCCTAGATACAAGGCGAGGTTAGTTGTTAAAGGTTTTGGCCAGAAGAAGGGAGTTGACTTTGATGAAATTTTCTCCCCTGTTGTGAAGATGTCTTCTATTCGTGTGGTTCTAAGCTTAGCCGCAAGTCTAGATTTAGAGGTTGAGCAGATGGATGTCAAGACTGCTTTTCTTCATGGTGATTTAGATGAGGAGATTTATATGGAGCAACCTGAGGGTTTTGTAACTAAGGGAAAAGAAAATTATGTCTGCAAATTGAAAAAGAGCATGTATAGATTGAAACAAGCTCCAAGGCGATGGTGTTTGAAGTTTGAATCTGTCATAGAAGAACAAGGGTACAAGAAAACTTCTTCAGACCACTGTGTATTCTTCCAGAAGTTCTCTGATGATGATTTTATTATTTTATTGCTTTATGTGGATGACATGCTTATTGTTGGCAAGAATAAATCCAGAATCGCAGTCCTTAAGAAGCAATTGAGCAAATCGTTTGCGATGAAGGACTTGGGGCCAGCAAAGAAAAACTTGGGCATTCAAATCCACCGACATAGAGACAGAAAGGAGTTATTTCTGTTCCAAAAGCAATACATTGAGAAGGTACTCAAGAGGTTCAATATGACAGATGCAAAAGTGGTTAGTACACCTCTTGCTAAACACTTCAAATTGAGTACTAGTCAGAGTCCATCTACTGATGAAGAGAAAAAGGAGATGTCTCGTATTCCTTACTCTTCTGTCGTTGGTAGCTTGATGTATGCTATGGTTTGCAGTAGACCAGATATTGCACATGCCGTTGGTACTGTTAGTAGATTCCTTTCCAATCCTGGAAAAGAACATTGGGATGCAGTAAAATGGATATTAAGGTATTTGAAAGGTACTGCAAATTTGAAGTTGTGCTTTGGCAATGGCAAGCCTGAACTTGTTTGTTACACAGACTCTGATTTAGGAGGCAATCTTGATAATTCAAGATCGACTTCCGGTTATTTGATCACTGTTGCAGGGGGAGCTGTTTCTTGGCAATATAGACTATAGAAGTGCATAGCTCTATCCACCACAGAAGCCGAATATATTGCGTCACAGAAGGTGCCAAAGAACTATTATGGATGAAGGAGTTTATTAATGATCTTGGCTTTGAGCAGCCAAGGTACATCTTATTTTGTGATAATCGGAGTGCTATCTGTCTCACCAAGCACTCCACTTTTCATTCTAAGACCAAACTTATAAATAGAAAGTATCATTGGATAAGAATGACCGTGGAAGAGAAATTATTTGAGGTTGAGAAGATACACACTGATGAAAATCCTTCGGATATGCCGACAAAGGCGGTGGCTGCAGATAAACATGAATTTTGCAGAAAATTGGCAGGCATGAAGCCTGTCAATAGTTCATCTATTTGAAGACACATTTGGCCCCTTGGCTGGAGGGGGAGTTTGTTGGGCTCATGCCCATGTTGTCCAGCCAAAGGCCCAGTGGCCTAATCCTATTCTTTTTTGGTTTCCATTCCTATTCGGAATTGGATTCGGTGCTTATTCCTATTTTGAGTGAGTTTTGGCTTTAAGAGAAAGCACCACTCATGATCTATAAATAGGACAACCTTGGAGAATTATTCTATGCTCATTGATACAAGTCTTTGAAAGACTTAAGCACATAAGAGTGGTTTAGAGAGAGCTTTCATCAAGAGAGAAGAGAGAAGAAAAGTATTTGTTTTGCTGTAGATTTTTATTCTGACCAGCCAACTTCAAATCATGTTTTCCGATTCGTTAACTGTTGGATCGGGCTAAAATTTTGACTGAGTGTTCGTAACATCTTAGTCTTGGATTTGAACGGTAGAGATCGGATTTGGAGGCTCGTAGCATCTGATTTCGAGCCTCGAACATCAGCTTCGTTTTTATGGATTATACTCTTTCTTCAATTGATTAGTTGTTGCTCTTGTTGCTATTGATTAGAGGATTTACTTTCGAACTTGAAACTAAGATTATCAGTTTATGGATAAAAAATTTAATTAAAGGTTGATGTGCCTAGTCAAATAATACGGAGACTAAAGTTAGAATTAGGCAAGTAACTCAAGGACCAAAATCAGTATTTCTCTTACAACAATAGACAACAAGCTAACTAATTAAAGAGTATTCAAGCGGTTAATTAAAAAAAATTAAAATTGGATTAGTAAAACATATTTAAAAAGAAAGAGAAAAAGAACAGCGAGTCTTTGAACCACAACTCCAGTCCTCCACTTCACAAGTAATAGCAAGACGTAAAAATGGCGTGTAGTAGCCACTAATTAAGGGTGTCTTTAATTTTTATCCACTAGTTATAATACTCAGCAAAAATAGCCACTACTAATAGAAAAAAGATAATTTTACCCTTTCTTCCTCTCTTTCGCGTTGCATTTTCATCTGGAATACCCAAGGCGATTTCACGGTCGGCCTCCTCCATGCTTGGTCAATAGCATCAGGTCTATTAGTGACCCCAATTACTAGGACATAACCAGGTCCATCATGAGATCCTTCTGATTTTGCTTCACTGTTCCTTTTACCAATACGTACCGTAGTTCCTTTTGCATCATCAAAATTTTCAAGTTCTGAATTTTTGAGCAGATGTCTCAATTACGTACAGTAATTTCTTTCTTCTTACCTTGTTTTTGTTTCTTTTGAGTTTAAAGATTAAAAGTTAAGGACATGACTTTTAAGTTTGACATGCAGGTTTAAAAGTTAAGGACATGCATTCATTAAATTTGACATGCAGGTTCAAAAGATAAGGACAAACAATCCTTAACTTATATTTTCAAGTTCAAAACTTAAGGATAGTCAGTATTTAAGTTATTGTTTCAAGTTCAAAACTTAAGGACTTTCTGTCCTTAACTTTGAGTTTCAGTTTCAAAAGTTAAGGACAGGCAGTCCTTAACTTATAGTTTCAAGTTCAAAACTTAAGGACATGCAGTCCTTAAGTTATTATTTCAAGTTCAAAACTTAAGGACATGCAGTCCTTAACTTTGAGTTTAAAGTTCAAAAGTTAAGGACAGACAGTCCTTAACTTACAGTTACACGTACAAAAGTTAAGGACAAGCTGTACTTAACTTACGGTTACAAGTTCAAAAGTTAAGGACAATAGGTCCTTAACTTTGACTTACAAGTTCAAAAGTTAAGGACGCTTGGTCTTGAAGTTTGAGTTCCAAGTTCAAAACTTAAGGACATATAACCTTGAAGTCCTGAACTTAGAGTTCCAAGTTCAAAAGTTAAGGACATGTAGTCCTGAAGTCCTGAACTTAGAGTTTCAAATTCAAAAGTTAAGGACATGTAGTCCTGAAGTCCTGAAGTTAAGGACATGAGCAGAAGGGTATTTTTGTCCGAGCAGTTAAAGTTTATTAAACCAGTGGCTAAAGACTAAAGACATTTAAAACGCTGACTTTAAAATAAAGACATAAGCTGTTAGTGGCTATCTGTGCACATCGTCCTAGCAAGACCAAGTCTCCGTAAATTAAGTCCGTCGAAGCAAAAGAACATTTTTAGATCCAATAAACACTGTCCCTTTAGCTTAAACCCAACCCAATATATGTGACTCAATGTTTTCAAGCCCAATCATATTCCATCTATACTAACGTGTTTAGCTTTAAAAACCAATGGCCGGCAAAGGAGAAGGTCCGGCGATCGGAATCGATCTCGGAACCACAAACTGTTACGTCGCCGTTTGGAGAAATGATCATGTAGAGATGATCACCGAAGATTGCGGTGGGAGCTCGCTCGCTCGTATGACGCCGTCCTACGTTTCTTTTGAAGAAGACCGGCGTTGGATTGGTCTCAGTCCTAAGCTCGGTATCGAAAATAACCCCACTAACACTGTTTTCGGTAAACATTAAATCTTAATTCTTTTTATTTTTTACGTTTATTGAAATAGTGTGGTTGTTGATGGATGCATGTTATATTTGTTATAATTACGTGATCATTTACGAGAAAAGGGAGCCAGTATTTGAAGTTTATGAGTTCTGACTTGTCACCAAGTTTGTTATTCGTCTTAGTTACTAGATTCACTATTAAATATTTATATTTAATGAATTTCCTAATATTTAAGGGTTTAAGCAAAAATTACTGGATTCGTTCGAACATGTGCCGAATCAAGTTTAATTTTCATGTTGACCGGTGTGTGTTGTCATTCATAAATAATTGCTTGGATTATATAATTACATTGCATCCAGTAGAGTATGTGACTAGTGTTTTTTTTTTTTATTGGATCTCCATAACCTCAATGCATTTAGTATGAATATGAAATCATTTTTATTTTTAGATCATTTCATAGAGAGATTAGTTTCTGGTTTCCAACTTTTACAAAAATGAATTGATTTAGCTGCATTTAAGTTCAAAAATTAATAAAAATTGTTAGTATCAAGCAACTTTTGACAGAGAGATTAGTTTGTGGATGGTACTATATAAATACATTGCATGCAGTATGAGTATGATATCAATTTCTCCTTTGTGCTATAATAATGGTAGGTGTATTTTCCTGTTAACAGATGCAAAGCGCCTTATTGGGAGGAGGGCTAGTGATCCCTCTGTACTGAGTGACATAAAAATATGGCCATTTAAAGTTATTGCTGGACCTGGTGACAAGCCAATGATTTGTGTAGACTACAAGGAAGAAGGAAAGCAGTTTACTGCTGAACAAATCTCAGCTATGGCTCTTACAGAGTTGAAGAGAGTTGCTGAGAAATTCATTGGATCAACTGTCAAAAACGCCGTGGTTTCTGTACCAGCTTGCTTCAATGACTCGCAACGTCAAGCTACCAAAGATGCTTGTGCTATTGCTGGTTTGAATGTTATGCGTATTATCAATGAGCCTACAGCTGCAGGCATTGCTTATTTTATGGACAAAAAAGATAGTAGTAGCAATGCAGGAAAGAAGAATGTGCTTATCTTTGATCTTGGTGGTGGTACTCTTGATGTTTCTGTTCTTACTATTGGAGATAATATAATTGAGGTGAAAGCCACGGCAGGAGACACTCATCTTGGAGGAAAAGATTTCGACAATAAATTGGTTAATCACGTCGTCCTGCAATTCAAGAGAAAGCACAGGAAGGACCTTACGCATAGCGCTAAATCATTAAGCCAAGTATGGACAGCTTGTGAGAAGATGACGCGTACTCTTTCCGACAATGACGAGGCAATATTTGACGTCCACGACCTATACGACGGAATTCCCTTTGGCTGCAATGTCACTCGTGCTAAGTTTGAGGAGTTGAGCGCGGACCTCTTTAAGAAATGTATGGAGCCAGTTGAGAAATGTTTGAGGGATGCAAGAATGGACAAGGATAGTGTTGATGAGATTGTACTTGTTGGTGGATCAAGTAGAATTCCCAAAGTACAACAGCTATTGCAGGACTATTTTAATGGTAAGGAACTTTACAAGAGTATTAATCCTGATGAAGCTGTTGCCTATAGTGCTGCTGTACAAGCTGCGATTCTTAGCGGAGAGGTTAGTAATAAGAAGATTCAAGATTTGCTGATTTCGGATGTCACGCCTCTATCAATAGGATTGGAAACAACAGGAGGAGTTATGACTATGTTAATTCCAAGGGACACAACAATTCCTGCTAAGAAAGAGAGGATATTTTCAACATATTCAGATAATCAAACTGGACTGTCAATTCAGGTTTACGAAGGAGAAAGAGCAAGAACAAAAGACAACAACTTGTTGGGCACATTTGAGCTCTCTGGTATACACCCTATTCCTAGAGGTGTACCTCAAATAACTGTTTCCTTTAATGTCGATGCCAATGGAATATTGAATGTGTCTGCTGAGGACAAGACCACAGGTCAGAACAAAAAGATTACAGTTACGAATGATAAAGGTCGGCTTTCGAAGGAAGAGATTGAGAATATGGCCAAGGATGAAAAGAAGGAAGGAACTTGAAGACTTATGTAATCCCATTTTTGTCAAGATACAGCCAGGGCCGAAAGAACAAGAGGTGTGGCCTAAATACGTACATTAATGAGAGGCTTTAATTTTTTTCTTTTTAAAAAAACTTTGTATATATTTTTATTTAAGGTTTATTTTTCTAGCTTTTTGAGATACAAAGCTATTAAATAATTTTTATAATTTATTTTTTAAATATTTTCAGCTAATACATTTCTTCTCTCTTTAGACATTGTTAATCTTAGGTAAGATTTTATCACTTCTAATTTTAAAAAACTTTTTCCCACAAATGAAATTGTTACAGGAATCGTGAATATTATTGTATAAGCAATATAAGCATTGGAAAATGAATCAAGTCTTTTTATCTGATTAGGTATATCGATTGAGTATTATCTTCTATTTGTACTATTTTCCTTACTACTTTTAATTTAAAAAATAAGTCTAAACAATCAATATCGGGTGACTATTACTCTATTCGTTTCAAAAAGATTGACACTATTTTCTTATTAGTCCGTTTCTGAAAAATTAACTCATTTCTGTATTTCCTTAATTATAAATGTTATGACTTGTTTGAGACATAAATTTCAAAAGTTTTATAGATGCACGAATGTTACGGCATATTTATGACCACAAATTTCAAAAATCTTCGTCTTTTTATTAAACTTTGTGTCAAATCAAACTAAAACAAACAAAATAAAACGGAGGGAGTATGTTTTAAGAAACTTTTGGGATTAAGGCGATATTTCTCCAAATTCTTATCACCTAGTGATCTCAATTTTTGTATGTGAATAGAAAATCAAAAATATTTTCATATGCTTTGAATTGTTCATATTTATTTTGAAGTTTTCTTTACCCTTTTTTACTAAAAATTATACTATTGTACTTTAAAATACTCAATTCTTTAAGAAAATTAATCATAACCAACTACTATACCCCCAAAATTTTGGAGCCTAAACCCTTAGGGATCGTTTGGTTATCGGGATAAGGAAATTAATTTCGGAATAGAATATGAGATTAAATTTATTTTATGTTTAGTTACCGCTATAATTTGTCACGACTCGGATTTTCCACCCTCGGGAGTCGTGATGGCGCCTACTAATGTGAGCTAGGCAAGCCAATTCTTTCAAACTAATTGCTTCATTTTCCATTTGTTCCTTTTTATCAAACACAAAACGATAACGTATAAACAGCAGAAAGTTAAATTAATTGGAAGAAAATAATGAAATATCTGGAATCTATGTCTATTACAATTACTCAAGCCTTAACCACCCAAAACCTGGTGTCACGGTGTCACAGACAGTCTAAGATTCACTACACACAAAGTCTGAAGAAATAACAGTACACTATTTCTGAAATAAGGAAAATGAAATAGGGAATAGAAGATAGAGGAGACGCCAAGGCCTGCGGACGCCTGCAGGTCTACCTTGGATCTCCGCGTGGACTGAAGGTAGCCACCTGATCTACTGTCCGAAATCTACAGCACTGGGATCTGCACAAAAGAGTGCAGAGTGTAGTATCAGCACAACCGACCCCATGTGCTGGTAAGTGTCTAGCCTAACCTCGGCGAAGTAGTGACGAGGCTAGGATCAGACTACCACATAACCTGTGCAGTTCAAATATATACAGCGGAAAAGAAATACAGAGGTAAACAAGTAAAAATGGGGGGGGGGGGGGCATGCTTCGAGGAATAACAGGTAACAACAAAATATCAAGAGAATTATAAAGGAACCACAAATCCAACTACTAACAAGGATAAGGAAAACAAAGGCAGATTTCACTTTCTTTTCACATCTTGTTGCAGGCGTGCAACCCGATCCCATTTCCTGTATCTCGTGGCAGGCGTGCCACCCGCTCCCATTTCATGTATCTCGTAGCAGGCGTGCCACCCGCTCCCATTTTATTTATCTTGTGGCAGGCGTGCCAACCGCGCCCATTTCATTTACCTTGTGGTAGGCGTACCATCCGCTCCCACTTAATTATATCTTGTGGTAGGCGTACCACCCGCTCCCATTTCAATTATCTTGTGGTAGGCGTACCACCCGCTCCCATTTCAATTATCTTGTGGTAGGCGTACCACCCGCTCCCATTTCATTATATCTTGTGGTAGGCGTACCACCCGCTCCCATTTCAATTATCTTGTGGTAGGCGTACCACCTGTTCCCATTACAAGCCAACAATAATCACAAGGAATCCCGGCAAGTGAACAATAATATCAAACCAACATCCCGGCAAGGGAACAATGATATCTCAACAATATCCCGGCAAGGGAACAATAATATCAAACAAACATCTCGGCAAGGGAACAATGATAATAATAACATGTGAGGCACAATAAACCACAACAGAGTCATAACAATTTATAACACGAGACTCACGGGCATGCTTGACACCAACGTATAGATACCCGTCACCATGCCTATACGTCGTACTCCACAATTAACACGTAGCAAATAGACACAACTCCTAATCCCTCGAGCTAAGGTTAGACCAAACACTTACCTCAATGCCACGAACACAATTCACGCTTTAGTTATAGCTTTACCCCTCGATTCCACCACCAATTCGTTCGTATCTAGTCACAAGTTACTTAATTACATTAATAAATGCTAAATGAATCAACCCCAATGGATGAAAATGAGTTTTCCAAAGTTTTACCCAAAAAGTTAAAAAATGCCCCCCGGGCCCACATGGTCAAAACCCGAGGTTCAAACTAAAACCCGATCACCCATTCCCCCACGAACTCAAATATATAATTTGTTTTGAAATCGGACCTCAAATCGAGGTCCAAATCCCCAATTTTTTGAAAAATCTAGGTTCTACCCAAAACACCAAATTTCCCCATGAAAATTATTGTTTTGGAGTTGAAATCATGTTAAAAGATGTTAAGAATTGAAGAAAGTTAGTTAAAAACGACTTACAATTGATTTAGAGACGAAGAAATCCTTGAAAAATCGCCTAAGTGTGTTTATGTTTTGAGAGAATGTCAAAAATGGGTTTAAAATCGTCTAAGTATAAAAGTTGCAGGTCTGTGATATGGGAATTGCAAACAGGGGTTCGCAATTGCGAACCCCGACCTCTGCTATTATGGGAAATGCGAAGCAGGGCTCGCAATTGCGAACCCTTCAGGAAAATAGGACCTTCGCATTTGCGAACAACTTGTCGCATTTGCGACTTGGGAATTGCGACAACTTTGTCGCATTTGCGACTCAAGGCTGGAATAGGGATTTTCGCATTTGCGAAAGAAATCTCGCATTTGCGAGACTGAGCTGGCCTGGCTTCCTTCGTATTTGCGATCAGCCACTCGCATTTGCGATATCGCATTTGCGAGCCAGGCTTCGCAAATGCGAAGCCTGCAGGCCTGCTATGCACAGCTGAAATCTGCAGTTTTTCTAAGTTAAAAATGCACCCCGTGGTCTATCCAAAACTCACCCGAGCCCTCGGGGCTCCAAACCAAATATGCACACAACCTCAAAAACATCCTACGGACTTATCCGTGCACTCAAATCACCAAAATAACATCATAAACATCGAATTAAACCTCAAGATCAATGAAATTTCTCTAAACTTCTTCAAATATCAAATTTGCATGTAAGGTCCGAATCACGTCAAACAGATTCCGTTTCTCACCAAACTTCACAGAATTATCTTAAATCATATATATAAGACCTGTACCGGGCGCCGGAACCAAAATACGGGCCCGATACCAGCATGTTCTAATCAAAATTCATTTCCAAATCCTTTAAAAAAAATTCGAAAACAATTTTCTTTAAAAATTCATTTCTCGGGCTTGGGACCTCGGAATTCGATTCCGGGCATACGCCCAAGTCCCATATTTTTCTACGGACCCTCCGGGACCGTCAAATCACGGGTCCGGGTCCGTTTACCAAAACATTGACCGAAGTCAAATTAATTCATTTTATAGTCAAAATTTATCATTTTTCATAGAATTTCACATATAGGCTTTCCGGCTACGCGCCCGGACTGCGCACGCAAATCGAGGTGATGCTAAAAGAGGTTTTTAAGGCCTCGAAACGCAGAATTCATTTTAAAAACAAGTGATGACCTTTTGGGTCATCACATTCTCCACCTCTAAAATAACCGTTCGTCCTCGAACGGACATAAGAAGGAAGTACCTGAGTCGGGAAAAAGATGGGGATAACGGCTCCGCATATCGGACTCGGACTCCCAGGTCGATGCCTCGGCAGGGTGACCTCTCCACTGAACACGAACAGAAGGAAAGCTCTTCCATCTCAACTGACGAACCTGCCGGTCTAGAATAGCTACCGACTCCTCCTCATAAGACAAGTCCTTGCCCAACTGGACAATGCTGAAATCTAACACGTGGGATGGATCGTCGTGATACTTCCGAAGCATGGACACATGAAACACTAGATGCACGGCTGATAAGCTCGGCGGCAACGCAAGTCTATAAGCCACCTCTCCCACTCGATCAAGAATCTCAAACGGGCCAATGAACCTAGGGCTAAGCTTGCTCTTCTTCCCAAATCTCATCACGCCCTTCATAGGCGACACTCGAAGCAATACCCGCTCACCAATCATGAATTCCAAATCACGAACCTTGCGGTCGGCATAGCTCTTTTGCCTGGACTGAGCTGTACGAAGCCTATCCTGAATAATCCTGACCTTGTCCAAGGCATCCTGAACCAGATCCGTACCCAACAACCGAGCCTCTTCCAGCTCAAACCATCCAACCGGAGACCGACACCGCCTACCATATAAAGCCTCATAAGGAGCCATCTGAATACTCGACTGGTAGCTGTTGTTGTAGGCAAACTCTGCTAAAGGCAAAAACTGATCCCACGAGCCTCCAAAGTCAATGACACAAGCTCGGAGTATATCCTCCAAAATCTGAATGGTTCGCTCGTACTGTCCGTCCGTCTGAGGATGAAACGTTGTGCTCAACTCAACCCGTGTGCCCAACTCTCGCTGAACTGCTCTCTAGAAATGTGAGGTAAACTGCGTACCTCGATCCAAAATGATAGACACGGGCACACCATGAAGACGAACAATCTCCCGGATATAGATCTCGGCTAATCTCTCGGGAGAATA